CATCTTACAAAAATCACTATTAAAATAGACGGTGTTTAAATATAATAATGGAAGCAGGTTTATCATAAAACAAAGGCTGTTTCTACTCTTACACATGACATTATAATCCTACATTTGTTCCACTGTATGTTAACTGTTTCTTAGTTATCATATATTAGATCAAGCATGGACCACTAGTACTATAACTTATTAAGTACTTAGTATGTTAGCCTACTCAAGAACTTGGGAAAAGATGAAAAAAGGCCATGTAGAAAAAGCATTTGAGGTTTTCTGATGGAAGATAGGCTATAAACCATTATTTCCCACTCACATCCTTTTAGCCCCTTTGCTTTGATGTAAACCCAGGTTATTCTCTCCATTTGATCAGCAGGTTCTATGAAGGATGAGCCAGCAGCTGATAATAGGAGGGTAGATTCCCCAAAGGGACACCAAGGGATAATCTAAAACTCAATGGATTGTACCCTTAGAGCTTCAGAAATGGGTCCATCCCTGCCTGATTTACCAGTAAGATATCTATCTTAGGATATCAGATAGTTTGCCCTAAAAACACCTTCTTATGTCCTTAAACTCTGTAACTTCTCCACTTATTCTTCTTCAGAAAGCCAGTTCTTCCACCTATTAATTTAATACACTCTTTCTTCCATTACAGTTGAGTTTTCAGAGGCAATCTGTGGGAGAACAGATCCTGTTAGTACTGGAATCTGTGGATATTTTAATTTCACTGCTAAATTGTTCCTGTGAAGTGATAATGAGCACTTCAAAATTCTTTCATAAAGGAAACCCCATTTAGATTTTTTTTCTGTTGTCAATCATTTAAAGTAGAGGAAACTACTATGTACATATACCAAAAAATTGTGTGATTTAACGTTAGCATTTCTCAATCCTTTTGAGTATCTGGGTAGCATTCCTCAATGACTTTTGGAGTTAGGCCAGAAGAATGATGCCACAACAGACGTTTTTTATTGAACACTTGTCCTTTTGACCATCTTTCCCTCGCCCCCATAATCCAAGGAAACCTTAACTCATGATAAAAGTGAGTTAAAAAAAAAAACCCTACTGATAAGTAAATGAAAGTGATTTTTTCCAGAGAAGCCTAGCAGACCTTGTACTGTAAATAACCATATGGGGCACCTGGGCTGGTTGGTTAGTCAGCGTCCTACCAGCATGGGGAGCAAAGGTTTCATTCTGTCTGGAAGAAAACAGAACAGGGGTTCTCAGCCAGATGGACTGAATTCTGACAATTTGTGAAGTGCAAAGTTTTCCCACAACAAAATGTCTCACCATGATTGGTAATTATTTAGAGTCAAACATTTGATGGAAAAAAATCAACAATTTTGAAAGGGCAATAATATTATAATATGATTTACAGCCAAACAATCTGTTTCCATCCTGGCATTCTGGTGACTTTTGTTTTTAGTTTTGTGTTAGTTCTTATTTCATGCTGACTTGCATTTCATTTAATTATTTACATGACTGTTTTTCTCAAAAAAAAATTTTTTTAATCAATTTTTTAAATTGAGATTAAAAAAACACATTTTAGATGATATAGTATAGGATAACTTTGTATTTGGAGTTCATGGTGAGTTTCTCCAAAGGCAGAAAAAAAAATTATCATTTAAAACTGTCTGATAAAATAAACCAAAGCTAACACAAGTATTTTACAACATAGCTCAAAACTGAAGAAACAGCTTATAAATGTCCACAGCATATAACTGAGAGCACTTGCCAACAGTGCAACCCAGTAACACAGGAAATTCTTGTCTCCTCGTATCTTTGGATCAGTTTAGACATATCTCCTGGTCATGTAGGAAAGAGTTTATACTAGTACTCTGCTTGCAGATTCAAGCTTAAGACATAATAAATTTGGCATGAACAATGTAAGGTCTCTTTGGAAGAGATTGTGTTAAAAGCATGCACACCATTAAAATAGTTTAATTACTATGATTCATCAACAGGTTACCCAAATAATTCTTTAAGACATCAGAAGCTTAAAATGGGAGAGCCAACCCAAATTCAACTGAACTGAGTCATTACACCACTTTACTTAAAAGCTTTTATTCAGTCATTAATTCACTTGTCCATTTATTTATTCAATAAATATGTATGAATGTCATACTAGGATATACTAGACCCTTTCCATGCATTACACCTGATCCTCTCATCAAAGCTGAAGGGTATAAGTTGTTACTGTGTCCAGACTACACATGTGGAAACAGCCTCAAAGGGATTAACTTTCCCTGAGCCACACAGCTCACTAAGCAAGTGATAGAACCATTATTTGAAACAGAGTTTGGCTTTCAATTTCTGAAGGTTTTCCTTTTACATCACTCTACGTCTTTATCAGTATATTTTGTGCTCATAGAAAACATTTCCCCAAATCATATTTCCTGAGATATGAATTCTATGGAATGTTAGCAACAATTATAAAAAGGGAGGGAGGTTTCATAGTCAAACAACTTTTGTGATACTTTGGTAGATACTCTGGTTCTCAATTATCAATGGTACTGTTGTTCTGTTACCTGCTCCCCGCTTCCTCATAAGAGAATCACGCACGCCTGCCCATCGCTGTGTGATGCACAGGTCCTTCGCTGGGAGAGACAGACATCCCTTGCCCCATAGCCTTCTAGCTCTGCATGTGACATGCTTTGGCCAATGGACTGTGCACACACACAAGCAGAAGCTCTAAGGTGCCTTGGAAGTTTCTGCCAGCCCACTTGCTCTTATATCCACCATAAGAACAGCATGTCTAGGTCAGGGCTATTCTTGCAGCCTGAGACCTGGAATGAGATGGCGTGTGGATCAGAGCCCTCATGGCCTGCAGCTCGTGACACATGTTATCAGTAAGAAATAGACGTCCGTTGTGTTGTAATCTGCTGAAATTGAGGGATTGTTTGTTACTGCAGCAAAGTTAACTAACAAAACAAAATACTACACAGTATATCCCCCTCTCAGATAGTCAAAGAATTTGAGCATAGCTTAGGGCCTGAGAAGCCCTACAGTATAGAAAATGTTTAGAAAGCATAGTGGACTAAAAACACATACACTTATATCTGCCCCCTCATTAACTGCTAGAAAAATGCCAATTAAAGGGATTGA